AGTTGTAGCTAAGTGCTTATATATTATATGCAATTTAAAACTCTTAGTTGTAAATATTGCTTATTGTTTATAAAACAAGACTGGATTAGTAGTGTAAACAGAGTTGTACTGAAATAAATCGTAAGCCGATTGTGCGAATTTATTTGGCTGTTAAGGAAATGCACACTCATTTGCTGTATCTAAGCACAATATCTTTGTTTTTAAATATGTTTATGTTCTTCTTTGTGTGTATGTAAGTATATAAGTATGTAAGTGTTTTAGTTTCTAATCTACTTACGTATATTTGTCACAAATGAGCTACTGCTTTAACTGTTCCGAACGTGTGACAATGGATTAAAAGTAGGCGCATGCGCATGCTAATTTGTTGTCTATTTGCTAATAATGAATGCTTATGGTAAAAGAGTCGCACCATGACTGCATTCAAAATGAGAATAGGATTTATTTTCCGATGCTCCGAATTTCAAAAAGGTTTGCCGGTCACTGCTCCAATTGCTGACTGGGTGGTGGTAAATATTTAGTATATTTGCAGGTAAATTAAGGATCACATTGAGTTTCTGAAAGACAACCTTATTTTTTTTTTTAATTTTTTTTTGGTCACTGGAAAGCACTACAAGTTTTAATCGCATGTTCTAATGGTAGAAGTACTAACTTTAAGTCTTCGGTCGGACCACTTTCTTGTCTAACATTTAGCTAAGACTAACGTACGTTAGCAAGAACACTGTCATAAGTTAATGAACTTTCAGCCAATCATTCTCACGTTATTGGTCTCAACAACTTTTTGGAAAAAGATTCTTGATAGAACATTATTTCGTGATGCGAAAAAGCACTGTTGATGTAAAGTTGGGAAATTTGCTGAATTTCATCGTGAAATTTTGTTAGCTGACCGTAAAATGAAATTTATGAAGTTAGTTAATATCTTTGGCATCTAACTGCAATGCTTAGACAATATAATTAGTGGTTTTTATCGATGAAAAGGCTCTTTGGGCTGTGGCTCGGTAGTCGTTTCTCCAACGCTTCGGGCTCATTTAGCTTAAACCATGCACTATTAACCAACTGCATTCGTCAGATTTGGCCACCAGCATCTATTTTCTCATTCCCAAACTTACTCGAATGAGGAGGTCAAGTTGTAGACAAATGAAAGCCGTGTATTTCAAAGTTCGATCTGCTAATAAAATGTTAGAAGTCTGTTGGAACAAATGCTTTCCTTTATGTAAAGAATATATCATATGAAATCACTCAAAGACACTTTCTTTCATTGTTAGGTCTACGGCTTTTCAGTTGATGAAGTTTGGCCATACTTCTATAAGAAAAAAACTCGTGAAGTACCTTGGAGTAGTCTTGGATAGCAAACTGTGAAAACAATACGTGAAAAAAAGTGTGGAAAGCCAGCAACGCTTTATGTGCGTGGAATCAGATGCTGGAGGCTCTCTCAATCTCTCATGAATTTCTCTCATGTTATTGTTAGACAATTCTGTTCTACGGTGTAGTAGTATGGTGGACAGTCGTACGGAAATCTACTTACCGGAAGAAAATGGAAATATAAATTTAGAAATACGTTTAGCTCGTTGGCTAATGGTGGTTGGACAAACACCGACTACATGATCCCACTTTTCAACTGGAGTTCAGAATAAACATAGAAAAAGAAGCCTGGCGAAAAGGTGTTTTAGCTATACGCAAAGGCGATGGAGTAGGTGCGGAAATACCGGGTTTGTCCAAAAACAATAGGACTGAGTCGATTTAAAAAACATTTCTTTTAACCAAACGTTACAATTTTTTAAAAACTTTCAAAATAGGCTCCTTCTGCGTAGATGCAATGCTGGCAGCGTGATTTCCAACCATTGAAGTCGTCACGGAAGGCATCCTAGGGAATAGCCTTGATAGCGGAGGTGCATCCTCTTTCATCGGCCTTTTCAGGCAAAGAAACAAAAAACGTCCGGGGGCCACATCTGGGCTGTAGGGCGGCTGCGGAAGCGTTGGAATGCCGGCCTTGGGTAGGTAGCTGAAAGGCAATGAAAGGGAGGCAGAAGAAAGGTGTTAGCCGGGGCGTTGTCGTGGTGCAACTTCCAATCGGCTGCGATGTCTTGTCGGAACCGATTGACCCTTCGTTTGAGTCTCTTGCGGATTTCAACGCAAAACTTGGCGTTGACGGTTTGTCCAGGAGGAACAAAATCATGGAGGACTCTGTTTTTGGTGTCCAAAAAGAATTCAGTCGGTACAGTTGCGGCGAAAGAAAACCAGTAATATTACTTTCCGGACAAACCCTGCATACTTTACAGTGTTAGGCATGAGGCAGTCTTTTAAGTTGCAGGATCGCTGCAGTATATGTATTTCAAGCTGAGGTCTTTACTATTTAAAAAGCCGCAGAGTTATGTCCAAAACGGTAAATTGGAAGTACATAAAATTCCTACTGGCACTCTATAGAAGAGACTGTAGGAACATGATGAAAATACTAACAGATCACTGTCTGGTGGCGACACATGCCCGCAGGATGGGGCTGACAGACCCAGGAGACTGCAGGAAATGTCTAGAGCAGGTCACCAGGGGTACTACGGAGCATCTCTTGTGCACTTGTCCCGCATTGGCAAGACTACGCTGTAAGAATCTGGGGTCCCTACGCTGTGGTACTCGAAGAGGTATCCATAGTAAAGTCGCAGAGCCTGTTAATATTCACATCATGCACAGGCATTTTAAACTATGACAACTGAACCCATCTGGCCTACCAGATTAACCTAACCTTTAAAAAAAGGCGTGTTTCAATCACACGTGTCTAATAAACTATAATATTTTCAGATTTTGTGTGAAATACAGATGTAAACACATTTACATATGTATATAAATATGCATATAGATAATAATATACTGGAATATAATATTCAATTACAAAGCACGCATACTATACATACTTATATAAAAGTATTTCCACTAAAAGAAAAATTAATTTTCATGCCGCAACTCGGAAGTTGCCCCACGCACACGACTTACTTCCTCCTCAAAATTAGTGGGTAATACGATACTTTCGTATTATTTTCCCATTCAGTATGTGCTATAAACAAATATATATTTACATAAATATACATATATCTTTTCATGCTTGCATGCTTACAATATTATTCACACACTCATACATATGTGTATATATAAATGCCTGTGAAAATGGCAACAATTGCGAAACCCCTCATCTTAAGCGGATTTAGAGGATCTGCCTTTGTTTGGCTAAGACTTGGATGATGTGCGTATACTCGTATATGCTGTTCATTTATATTTTCTTAACGCTTGAAGTACTGACGTACGAGAACACCTATTCCAGATTAGTTTTGATCACGCCGCATGCTTAAATTTTCAAATATAATATGTTTTTCCTAATTTTATTGTTAGCAAATTTTGTACAAATTGTCTGTTTATTGAGTGCAGACATACATACATACATACATAAATATGTACATATGTATATTGAGTAAGGTTGAAGATGCAATATGAAGTAAGTTTTGATTCACCTAATTCCATCTAATATTTCGACTCTTCAAAGGCAACCTGGGATGATCCGGACAATTGTACAGGTAGAGATATCCACCCACACCAAGGTAGTTCTGGTGTTAAAATTTTGAAGATATTTTTGTACTCTTGTATAGTAGACTCCCTCCTTAATTAAATTTAATCTAGTATGCTTTTGGGGATAAATCTAATTATCATACTTTATATACATTATACCCAGCGGCGAAGAACTGATAAGGAGCATGCATCAGCTGCTTTGTACAATATGTATAATATGGTCGGACGAAAGCATGCCCTATGATTGGAATTCACACAAAGGGAGACGCAACAATCTACGCTAACTACCGTCGTGGGATGAGCCGCCTTAACATCGCATATAAGGTTCTATCAAGCGTATTATGTGAAAGATTAAAGTCCACCTTCAAAAAGCTAATTGGACCTTATCAGTGTGGCTCTTAAGCCTGTAAAATCATGAAGTGACCACATATTTACCATCTTGGAAAAGACCTGTGAAGGGAGTATCGACACACATCACTTCTTTGTCGATTTCAAAGCTGCTTTTGACAGAACGAAAAGAAGTTGCCGTTATGCCGTGATGTCTGAATTTGGTATCCCCGTAAAACTAATACGACTGTGTAAGCTTACGTTGAGCAATACCAAAAGCTCCGTCAAGATTGAGAAGGGCCTCTCCGAGCTATTCGATATTACACGTGTTTCAGACGACTTCTTCAATTTGCTGCTGGAGAAAATAATTCGAAATAGAGAAGATAAGTACAATCGTTTATAAGAGTGTACAACATACGCGCCGTTAAATCTGCTTAATCCACGTTGGACAAAGAAATGAAGTAAATGAGTCTGGTAGTGAAAGAGAGCAAGACGAAATATCTCCTACCTTCAAACAAACAGCCGTCGCACTAGCGACTTGGCTCCCACATCGCTGTTGACAGTCATAACTTCGAAGTCGTAGATAATTTCGTCTGGAACCAGTATTAACAGCAACAACAATGTCAGCCTCGAACTTTCTCCAACATGTGCTACTTTGGACTGAGTAGGCAATTGAAAAGTAAACTCCATTATTTTCGTCCTGCTATATATTGTAGAGGCATGGATGAAAGACTTGACCTAGCCCCTATATAACTAATATCAGGACTCTTACACATCCAGTTTTTTTTTACTCTATATAATTGGTTTTTTAGTATGAGGTATTGGAAAAAAGTAATTAAAATATTCACTATGCCAGTCGCATTTATTTTAAGCTTTTTGTATCACGTTTATTTATAATAATCTTAATATTATATTCTTAGCTAAATATTTTCGGTCACACCGATACCAAATACAAATGTAAAATAAACAGAGCTAGCAATATTTAAAATGAAATTATAATACCGATATCCTTATATGTATACCTATATACATATTTTTTTCACATTAAAAAATATAGTTTTTTAGATCTTACACTACATTTTGATCTTCTATCCTCCTGTAAACACAATACTTCTTCTTCTCTTTCAAATCAATGCTGTTGGAAGTTTTTCGTACGAATCCAGACGTGAGTTATCTTTTACGCCCATTTTGATTGTATTTGTTGTTATATTATAAACCACCGTAGCCTGAAATCTCGCTTTCTCCGGATTTGTTTCGAAACTTATACAATATGTGGACTCATTTGGTGTTTTGATCATTTTCAGTTCAACACTATTGCCCGTTTCTAATTTTAATTCTTCACATTTATCGCTAATATCTTTATTAACCAGATATTGATTCATTTTGCCTAACACTAGTGCCGTTACATTCCTTGCGATTGCATCACTTAAGGGTACAGTTTCATAAGATACGCAAGTACACCAACGCTCGGGAATGCCAGCATCATTACGGGTGCGATTCTCAAGTATTTCACGAAAGATGCAAACACCATGTATGTTGTTATTGAGGTACGGAAAATCGTTTTCCGGTTCAGCCAACTCAAGTGTATGTTTCATGGTCGCATAAATGTCATAGGGTGTCGTGAAACGCTGCTGATTTGTTTGCAAGTTTTTCATGAAATTCGGATATTTGTTTTGATACCACGACGGTATCGATATAAGCATTGTGGGTAATCTTTCTTCTAAGAATCCTGATTTCAACTGCAGTAATGGACCCCAACGCATGCCATGGTCCGAAAGTAATATCACAATCGTACGTTCTAGAATACCATCACTTTTAAATTTTTCCAGATATTCCAATACCTTGACATCCATTGTTGCTTCGGTGTTGAAATATACCAAGATATCATGAAACATATTATTACTAGCGATGATGATGAAACCGATTATCAATTGGCCGCATATATTGGCCGAAGCCGAAAAAACCACATCAAAGCAAAAAGATCAAAAATCAAGGTTATGTTGACAGTTTTTTTAGATTACCGAGGTATGGTGCCGGCAGCTCTTGGTTTTTGCACAACGATAATGCACCGTCGCATACTTCATATATTCTTCGTGAGTTTTTCGTCAAATTTTCAACCACTATCGCACCACAACTCCCATATTCATCTTAGTTAGCTCCGGTGTCCATAAATGCATTGGCTTTGTATTTATCTTTTGCTAAATATGAAAATTTGTAAATATAGACACAGATATATAAACACAGTCCCCACATGTTCTGAAAACGAATTACATTACGAGAGTTTTTCCAAAACTTAAGTACTTTTGCGTCATATTTCATCATTATCACGATCCTCACTGATTCACTGAATAATGTTATAGATATTCATAGATATCATGATAATGGTGAAAACGAAGCATCCAGCCCTCTGCGCCTACGGTATTATTATTTAGATATAGTAAATCTGGAACTACTCAGCATTTTACGGTTGATATTTTGAGTATGAAGGCGGCATTATTACCTTAGGCGGAACATAGGTTTGGGAATGCTTTATTGAAACTGATAAATATCGTTTATAGCTTTGTCCTTGTGTTATTTTTACAAATACAATACTTCTTCTCCTCGTCCTCAATACACTTGGAAGTTCTTGCATACGAATCCAGACGCGAGATCACTTCCACGTCTGTTTTAATTGTACTTGTTGTTATATTATAAACCACCGTAGCCTGAAATCTCGCTTTCTCCGCATTCGCTTCGAAATTTATACGATATGTGGACTCATTTGATACTTTGATCATTTTCATTTCAACACTATTGATCTTTTCTAATTTTAATTCGGCACATATATCGCTAATATTCTTATTAACCAGATATTGATTCATTTCGCCTAACACTAGTGCCGTTACATTCTTTGCGACTGCATCACTTACAGGTACAGTTTCATATGATATGCAAGTACACCAATGTTCGGGAATGCTAGCATCCTCACAGGTCCGTTCCTCGGGTATTTCACGAAAAATACTATAACCAGATGTAGAGCCGTTAACATAAGGTACTTGTATTTCAGAATCCGCTTCTTCAAGTATGTGTTTGAGTGTGGCATAAATGTCGTAGGGTGTCGTTAAACGATGCTGATTAATTTTTAGATTTTTGACGAAATCTGGATGTTCGTTTTGATACCACGGTGGTAGTGATATGAAAAACATTGGTAGACGTTCTTCTAAGAAGCCAGATGTTAATTTCACTAATGAACCCCAACGTACACCATGATCCGAAAGAAATAACACAATCGAGCGATCCAGTATACCTTCACTTTTAAATTTCTGAAGATACTCCAGCACCTTCAGATCCATTGTGGCTGCCGTATCGAAAGCATTATGACTGAATGAGTTCGTCCAAAACAGTCCGAAGGTGCGCTGTTCGGTAAACACATTCGCGAATTGTAAGGCACTATCGAAAATGTAATCGCCGTAATGACGGCGTCCAACACAGTATGGTAGACCATCTTTAGATTGTACTTTCAGCGTTTTTTCAATCCCCAATGTCATGGGACGTAGATAATAATCGGTTGGTGGATGTTCAAATCCTATTTTTTTATAATTAAATGTATTTATAGACACCACATCCTCCGAATATGCCGTTATGTAACCGGCTTGTTTAAAATTATTCCAAATAAAGTTACAAACAGGTTGGTTAAGTCCGCCTACCGTTGTAGGCTTGCATTTCTCATGTGCCATTGATTCATTGTAAGACGTTAGCAGCGGCATCAAATTTGGAAAAGTGTTATCACCGACCTGTATTTATATAGAATAAAATAAAAATTAGTCATTAATGAGAGCTATTCGCATTAAAAGAGATAAAGAGAGAGGGTCTTTTACCAAAAAAAATATGCTATCTAATTTTCATTTACAGGAAGCTAAATGGAATTTTGAAAGTCTCATATTAGGTATATGGGGGTGGAGTGGTATTGAACTGATTATATATCTCCTTTTTGGCTCAAGCACAGAAAAATGCACTCTCAAAATGTTATTAAGATATTATATATGTTCACCGATATGTGCGAGACTAAATTAAAGAGAATTAAAGAGAAGAGAAAATCTTTTTATTTAGTATATGTAAGGTTAAGAAAGTACGACTATTGACCCGAGTTTACCTTTACTTTTTTTTTACATATTAAGCAGCAGCAAGTCTTAGTGCTTAAATGTTTTTCGGGTATTTCGCATACATTTGTCACTTACCTTATTATAACCTTGAAATTCAATCCATTCCTCGCTCATTTCCAGATACTTAGCAGTCAGCGGCATTGTGCGTCTTAAATTTATGCGTGACATACTATCAATGCCTACTAGGAGTATGCTCGGCTTTCTTATAGTCGACGGTTTTGCACTTCTAATGTTCGCACTAGTTTTAGAGCTGTTCAAAAGCTTTTGTGTTTGTATAAATGAGAAGGCGTCCGCTTGAATCGGTTTCGTGTCAATAAAACACTCAGTAACTATATACTCTATATGTATGGGAACCAGAAAGTCTTGTTGAAATGTGGTGCAATTTAAAAGACTGCAAAGTAAGAACATTATCACTTAATATCGAAATCTTTCATAAATGCTATTTTCCTTCAAATTATGTATAAAAAAAAATACTCGATACAAACCACTCACTTGTGCTCTTTATCAGCCGTTCCGCCACTTCCAGCTCTGACAATTTGCTGATAACAGCAACGGACATCCGTAGCGGTGGCATTTAACGGTTTAACGGCACGCTCTATGGCCTCCATATTCATGTGTAGAAGGTATTGTCGTGCATTTAGCTGATAGCTGCTTGTAATGAAAGCTTCATCGCTGGTGCAATTAGTGTAGTCATAATTTTCTGGTCTAAATATTTTTAGCGCTTCCGCGGAAAAGGGGTTCACATAAGGCATACAGCATTGTGAAGTGTGGATGTAATATTTTGATTGCGCTGGGCCTAAAGAAAACCCTAAAAATGAATGGTTTTTAAAGTGTGGTTTTATATTTTTCAGCACTTTCAGCGGTAGCAGAACTTTATATTCGACAAAATTCTAAATGGAAAGTAATTGCCATGTATTAACTTAGACTAGAGGATCATAACCTCAGTTAGTTTCATTACTAATTTCTGCTTCATATACGAAGTATTTATATTAAGTATATTCATCCCACTAGTGTCATAATTCTTATAATCGATTGGCATAATGCTAATCAAAACATTCCCGTTTAATTTTGCTGAGATATCTGGGTATGCGAGTTAAACTCAATCGAAGAGGTTTATGAAGTTTAGACCATGCGACGATTTCATTCATATTCGGCAATAAACTACCTTATAATACGAAACCATAGCCACTCCATTTCACCAAAATATCACACATATAAAGTAAATAATCGGCTTAAAGTCAAGTGGAAAGTCGGTGACTTCAAATGGGTACATCAAGCAGAAATTTCTAATCAATATTGTAGAATACAAAATTCTCTACAAATTTTGTTTGGAAAAATTTTTCATACGGTGCTCCGTTTTCGAGATAGAGGGCGGAGAGCGCGCGGTCACAGCATAACTTCAGGTCAACCGGTGCCTCCGGTCAAAAATACGCCATATATAGTTGATGAACTATCGACAAATAAATGATTATAAATATTAGTCAATTTTTATTAACTATTATATTATATTTAATAATTTTTTCCAACCTATCCACATTTTATTAAGTATTAATTTATTTAACAACACTTACCTGCCCATGTAATTGCAAAATTGTTGTGAAAATATAGGAATTATATTTGAATTTAAACCTAATTAATATTAATAACTTCTTACTTGAWAACAAAAAAAAAAAAAACAAATAAATTATGAATTTATCTTTTTATTAAAAAATATCATTCAATACATTTATTTTTATTAAAAGAAAAAAATGGAATAAAGGGTACAAAAACTACAATTTATAATTTTAATCATCTTCTTCCTCTTCAACGTCGTCTTCCGGCTGCTGGTAAATTTTACACTGGTCTTCATTATCGTCTTCAACGACATTTGTCTCAAGTTCTACCATGATTTCGGGGTCAAAAGTTCCATCTTCGTTAATGTCGCTCTGATATCGTAGAGCCTTGAGACAAGCTTGCCAATTAAGTTGGTCACAAGCTAAAGAGCGTTCCAAGCCCGCTTTCCTGCATCCGCATCGCGAACCACAACCACTTTTGCAGTTGCAGAAAATTGTATTTAGCAAATGTTCTGGAGTAGGTGGTAAAACTGTCATGATAGGCTCCAGAAAATCGTTTCTCATTGCCCAACCCCATACCTGGGATTCCAAATCAATTTGATAATATACACGTTCGAAATGTTGATGAGCAGCTGCACTTGTTGGTGGAATATTTGAAAGCTGCACATGTTTATTAAGTTTTGTATACTTGACATAATGCATATAACGAAGATGATCGAGACTTTTCACAGATTTCGGAGCATTTTTTGGAGTTACTATCTTAATAATCCCCATAACATGAAGAGTATTGTTACCATCAAGAGTCTGGACATTTATATCGGCATTGTCTCCGTACTGTACAAGTGCACCTGACTCTGATGATAAAATACGAGACTGTGGGTGACAAACTGCTGAAACTTCATACTGTACTGTATTACTATAAGAAGCTGCACATCCCAAACTAGATAAAATATCCAATAGTCTTTTAAATCCATATTTTCTGTGAAGAAATACAGAAAGGCTCAAAAGTAGCTGTGATGAAAAAGAACGTTCCCGTATGGCAGCCATAATTGCAGGGCTTATTGAAGTACTTTTTGTTTTTAAATGATCAATTTGTCCTTTCCTGTTTTTGACGATAACTTCTTCTAAGAAATGCAATAAAGTTTTTGGAATTTCTTGATTAACATTATCCAACATTTCACTAGGAGGTGGATAAGATTTAGAATTCTTAACTTAAGAAGCTGGCCGACAAAATACGGCGAATATGGTTTGAAGAACAGAGCACACCATTGTAGGACCCAAAAAGGTGATGTAGTGACTGCTGTTCAGAGTAGAAAACACTTCACCAGCCTGCAGATCAGCATTTTAGCTTTTGGCTATTAGCTTTTTTGCAAGATAGGGTCGGATGAAAGCATTCACGACGATTGGAACCTAAGAGTCCACAAAAAGAGGAACCTCCCAATCGGTGCCAATTACCATGGGATAAATCTCCTCAACATATCTTATCGAGCCTCGTGTGTAAAAGACTGAAGCTTACCGTCAACAAACTGATCGGAAATACTATCCACCAGATTTTGACCATGCGCCAACTCTTGGAAAAGACCCGTGAAAAGAAGACTCCAGCTGTGAAGGTTTCGCCGATGAAAGCAGAGGAAGAGGAAGACCTCCACTCTGTAGAAGAACCTGGATAAACTTGGTGTCACGCATTGGCGCCAAATAGCGAAAAGAAGAAATAACTGACCCGCTATAATCACGTAAGTGGTGTCGACGCCAATAAAGAAGAAGAAGAAAATGTAAAATAACATACGTGGCGTTGGAATAATATTAACATGATACATATTTACAATTAGAAGAAATAAAGTAGAAGGAACAGTTTAATATCAATATTTAATTATTGGCTGTTTGGAATTGTCAAAAAGCAACATGTTTTTCAATTCAAAGCCGAGAAGACACAGTTTAGTTATCTATCCACATGCAAATCGGAAGAGCATTTGGGCGTTTGGAAAACCCGCTTTGACACACACGTAGCAAATAAAAAGATAACAAGAAGTTTGAATTGAGATCGTTAAATTTGAGAGAAGATGAGGATTTCTTCGCGAGTAGAGAAAAGAGTTTGCCAGTAAATTTTTCAATTCTCTTTTCTTCTTAAGCATATCATGTCAGCAATGACAATAAGCCATACTTATTACTGTTTGGAATGATTTTTTCGTATTAACGTACACTACTTGTTTATAAAATTCCGTATGTATAAACTAATGAACTATTTTAGAAATCGAATATGTCAAGGGTAAACAAATTTTAAGCCAGCCTGAGCAAATAGCTCTACCAGAAAAGACAAACCAAAAAGCCGAAATAAGTTTTTATTCTATTTTTGTTATTGTGAAATATTAAGTGAAGCTTTTATTTCCTTTAAAATCACCGAGTATTTTGCTATATAATGCTTTAACTATTAGAAAATATGTTTTCTCTGGTCTGTCTGTAATAAGTAAACCCTGTACATGGCTTTTTTGATGCTCGTCGGTATAATATTAAATTTAATTTCCAATATTTATCTAAAATTATGAATTAAATAACGCCATTTCCAACGGTATAGATAAATATTTTCCCAATTTGTCAAAATTTTAATTCGCGCTCAAAAAATTTGTTTTATATTTTTATTTAGGAATTAATAACTAGTAATTTTAATAATGATTATTAAAATATATTTTGTTATTCACAAACTAGCTTTCGATGATACATATAACCGTTTTCTAATAAAAAATCTAACACTGAAAATTTTATTTTATTTATTTTTTCGTCTTTCATGCTATTATTGTTTTTAGCTATTTATTATTTTTTAGTTATATAATATTTAATTATTTAAATAACAAAACACATTTGTACATTTTTTATAATTAAGTTTTCATAATAGTTGCAATAATAAATTTGTGTGACACGGCGTATTAGTAACATCTCATGGACAGCAAGCTCTGTTAGTGCGCATTGTTGGCTAGATTAGCATTCAACGTTCATTTCAATGTTAAACTATTTACAGACTCATGTTAATATACTATGTTAGGTGTACAGTATTATGTTAGCGCCAACATATTTCACACCGAATGAGAGATAAAATTGTATAAGTTCTCAGGTAACACCAAAAACGTTTGAAGTCTACACTTTTGCTAACAAAAATACTATTTTTTGTGTTAAAGGATTACATGGGTTTACGGGTTTAAAATTTTTGTTTATTGTCCTATTAAATTTTACCACACATTTATAATATTGTGCTAAATTTTCTAATTTTTTTGATCCGAGCCATAGATACAGCCTTGAGAACTTGTGCGCTCGAGGCTAGTTAGGCTAAGTGCGTCGTCTTTAAATGTGTTTTTCTGGAAACTGAATAGGTTGGCAAGATTTCTCGAGAACTACTTAACCGATCTGCATAACATTTCACACAGGTCTTTGAGATACAATTCTTAAAGACTGGACGAAGGATTTCTTTTCGATTACAACTATTTAAAAAAAAATTTCGCAAAATTAAAATTTTTTTTTTTAAATTTCTGCCAAAATCAAATTTTAAGTTTTTTTTTCGTCGAAGTTGTAGGTTAAGGTTTTAACTAAAAACCGTATTTTTTACATTAGATGATCCTGTAAGGAGTTATCTTGCCAAAACGGGCGCATCTTTTTACCAAGGGGTCACCGGAAATGACGTCGTAATGGCCGATTTTAAAATATTACGTTTTAACAATAAAAAAAATCCTAACAAAATATTTCTGTTGAGGAAACCCATGACAATCTTTTACTTTCATATTTTCTTAAAGTTATATTTTTGTATAGAATAAAATTGAGAATTATATAAAAAGTCAATGATTATTTGTATCACTTTGAACTCATGAAATATGCTGCTTACTGAGTGGTACGTTTCCAATAAATCTTATATTTCAAAGAGGAATAAAAAGCACTCTACAACAACATTACATACCGTCTTTGACATTTTTATCCACTCCGTAAAGGATTGTGTGATAAACATTGGTTGTATAATTGAATGGATCGCAAAACAGATATAATGTTAAAATTAGCATACACAACACCGAAAACTTCGTGAATTTTTTATGACTGTATATGGCTTTATTTTGCATATTCAAATTACGCCATTTTTTAATATCATGTGCGTTGAACTTCAAATTGGCCAATTTAACCTTCATCACTGTTTTTATTTCACTTATTTATAATTTCTTATTGAGCTGATAAATTGTTGCAATTCGCTATTGAGCTTATAGATATATTGTTGTATCGAGCTCAGTTTTATAACTGAAACTTAATTAATATGATGATGTTTTTTTATAATTCAGAATTAATATAGAAAGTTCTATGAATGGCAATTAAGTGAATAAGCATAGAATAGTTAGATTGGCATGTCTTTCACTGCTATAGTAAAACCTCTTTAATAGTAACTCTAAATATATAATATTTGAGCAATTTATTAGCGACTTTACTAGTCTATTTTTTAATGCACATAAAAATATGTTTACTAATTTGTTATTAGAGACAATAATATTGTATTATTTTATGATTATAGAAAAATGTTTTAAAGTCATGAGATTTAAATCTAGAAATACTCGCTTATTTATCCGTATATTAGGTTCATAAGGAAGAGGTTTGGCTGCTGAGACAGTAACCAAAAACATTTTCATAGACAGCTGTTCAATATTTGCTATATTTATTCATCTATTTATATATGTTTGGTGTAAATATTTACCAACCTTTTTTATTTTTTCTATTGAGACTTTGCTTCGCAGTTTTTTTTTTTTTTTGACTCTTTTTTGCAAATGTCATTAAAGCTGGTGTTTTAATTTGTTTAAAAAAAACATTTATGGGCTTACTTTATAGGCAATGATATCTACGAAAAGTTGAGACGACGCTCTATCCTTTTGGAGATTACTAATTATATTTTTTATTAAATTCTACGTATAAATGAAGTTTCAAAAACATGTTTACAGCAGCTGCTTAAGTAGGTATACCTCAGTAATGTGTACAATGGATTAAAATATCGAGCAAAGAATTTGTCTCAAATTTAGTATTTCTAATCAAATCTCGTCTACGGAATTGTTGCGAATGTTGGAAAAAGTTTACTGTGTTTTTTTTTTTTAATCAAATTTTTGTATCAAAAAAGTTTACGAGTAGTACACAAACCTTCAAAGACGATCAAGAGATCGTTTTAACTGATGAGGCAATTCTTAGAGAAATGGCAAAAGAGCCCGGCATCTCCCCTGAGTCCGTTCAAATTATTTTTGTGGATAGATATATATGAAACGCGTTCTTGATCGACTTGTCTCGATAAAATTACATTTTCTTCAAAAAATGTACGGCAAACAGGTCACTTTGGACATGCGCGGTTGTGCGATGATCATTATTTTTTCGATATTCGTGGCTTCGTGTATCATGAATTTGTTCAGTTGGGACATTGACCGAGTTGAGACGTTTGAGTGAGAACATCCATCTGAAATGGCCGTATTGTGGTAGAACAACTTATGGACTTTTCACGATGATAATGCACCATCGCACGGAGCTACGATTGTGACCGAATTTAAACCTAAAAACGCAATAAATACCATCGATCAACCACTGTATTTATCAAATTTGGCTTCGTGTGACTTTTTCTTGTTCCTCAAACTGAAATTGCCGCTTCGTGGAACACGATTTCAGTCGATCGAAGAGATGAAACAGAATTCGCTGAATTAGCTGAAGGCCATCCCAAAAGCGTTTCGAGGACTGGAAAAATCGTTGGCATAAATTTAGTACATCTGGTGAGGACTTAGAAGGCGACAAACTGATACTGTAACAGTCCTAAGTCCTAGTTCTAAAAGACCAATTGTCGTAAATATCGATAAAATTATAAAAAATTTTGAGTCCATTGTCCACAAGCATATTATTGCACAAAAAACAGTTTGAAACCTTTTCACTATGGGTGGCTACAAAGAGAAGCTCGATGTATGAATGCCACTAAGTTAATTCAAAAAATTCTGAAGGAAGAAATCAGCCAAACGCTGCGTTACAACGGTCCACACACATATCGATTGCGACTCGTCAGAAGCACTGAGCTTAATTGACATTTTCAATACATCCACCTTATAGCTGCCGAATGATTTTGATGGCAAAAAATTCGCCTCAATATAAGTTTGTAAAGACCGGAATAGTTTTTTCTATGAGAATAGCATCATGAAATTAACTTATTTGGTTAATTAAACTCTTTAAGTTTTTAATTTCGTGTAACGTAATAGGCTCCTAAATCAGCCACGACGAAAACAATATCATAATAGTATTATATTACAAAATATATATTTCTCAACAATAAATATACTTATATGAAAAATATAATAAAACCAAGTACTTAGTCAATAAGGTTTTAGACTTTCAGTATTTACATTTAGAAATTTAGCACCCACTTTTACTCCTTGGGAGATTGAAACTATGCGAAGCTTTAATGAAATCCTATTCGTAGCATTATTTTTTACAAACGCAATATTTTTTCTCCTCTTTCAAATCGATGCAGTTGGAAGTTTTTTCATACGAATCCAATCGCGAGATATCTTCCACGTCTGTTTTGATTGTATTTGCTGTTATATTATAAACAACCGTAGCCTGAAATCTCGCTTTCTCCGGATTTGCTTCGAAACTTATACGAAATGTGGACTCATTTGGTACTTTGATCATTTTCATTTGAGCACTGTCGATCGCTTCTAATTTCAATTCTGCGCATTTATCGCTAATGTTTTTATTCACCAGATATTGATTCATTTCCTTTAACACCAATAAGGTTACATTCTTCGCGACTTCATCCTTTGTGGGTACAACTTCATATGGTACACAGGTACACCAATGCTCGGGAATGCCTGCATCATTACATGTACGATTCTCGGGTATTTCACGAAAAATACTAATACCACGTATAGTTCCATTGAGTATAGGAAATTCGATTTCTGGTTGCGTGACTTCAAGTATATGTTTCATGGTCGCATAAATATCATATGGTGTCGTTAAACGTTTCTGATTAGTTTGTAAGATTTTTACGAAATTTTGATATTGTTTTCGATACCACGGTGGTAGTGATATGAAAAACATTGGCAAACGTTCTTCTAAGAAACCCGATTTTAATTTCAGTAATTTACCCCAACGAATGCCATGATCAGCAAGAAAAATCACAATTGAACGCTCTAGTATCCCATCTATTTTCAATTTTTTCAGATACTCCAACACCTTCACGTCCATGGTTGCTTCGATATCAAAGGCATTATGACTAAAGGAATTTGTCCAGAATAATCCGAAGAGCGGTTCTTCTGGGTATGCATTCGCAAATTGTAAAGCATAATCATAGATGTATTCGCCATAGTGTTTGCGGCCAACACAGTAAGACAGTCCAGCTTTCTTGGTCACCTTCAATACTTTTTCTACGGCCATTGTAAAGGGGCGTAGATAATAATCGGTCGGTGGCCGCTCAAATCCCTTTTTTCTATAATTGAAAGTGCTCATTGAACTTGTGTCCTCTGCATAGGCGGTCTTATAGCCGAATCGCTTAAAATCGTTCCAAATAAAGTTACAAAGTGGATTGTTAAGTCCACCTACAGCTTTAGGTAAGCATTTCGCCTGAGCCATCGTTAAATTGTATGATGTCAGCAAGGCCATTAAGTTGGGAAAAGTATTATCACCAATCTAGAAATAAAGGAAATTATACAAATATTTATTTATTAATATTTTGTATCTATATATGGATGTAAATCGACTATACGGCCCAAAAGGACACATTTTCAGGTCTTAAGAGATAATTTCATACAAAAGTGTGTCATAGTACAATACTAAAGTTTCAAAATGGCATTTCTATAATTACAGCTTGATTGATTGGGAAGGCTGAATGCCTGAATGATGTTCTGTGCGCCCAAGTGATTCCTAATTAACACTCAACAGTTCACTAGATTTCCAGTCTGATCACATAACCGGAACGGACACTGAGTTTTATCCGGACAAAGACAGTCAACTCGGCAGAATTCTGCCGCTGCAACAACAATTCACTAGATTTGTTTAATATTCAAAGGTAAATATTTATCAGATGATAAGTGGTTATTCGGATAATCTTTATTATCTCACAATTCATCATTCTCTGTATACATGTATATGTTCTGCATTCTGTAGACAAACATTTTTGCCAAGTTTTTGAACGTGGAGTCGCTAGGTGACAACCACACAACGACAAGCCCTGAGTTTTTTCTTACACATCCTGTCAATAAAAGGTACGACGTTTGAACATAACTAATTTTTTGTGTCACTTATATATGTATGTGTTCTCTACCTTGTTTATTTTTTAAAATATTTTTTTTGAATATGGGAGTATCTTTGTTCTGTGGACGTTGCACGTTATAGAACCATAAAGAAACCATAAAAACTATACTTGTATATGCATATACTATACCAATGATCATCATGACAAGCTGGGTCGATAATAAACTCACCTATCAAAATCCAGAAACACATTTTTTATATCCTTTTATAAACGCATCTATGAAGGGTGTTATTCATACCCAACACTAAAAGATCTAGAGTACCAAGGAATACGTTTAAATCCCATACTTTCCAACTCAAGAATAGTAATGTTTGTCTACCGTGTGCTCACTGTGAAGAAAATGAGAGATCTAGCGATAATTAAAACTGTGAAATAAAGATGAAAAGTGGAAAAATTTGATATTCACGGGCATTACCTCAACTTCATACATCAAATGAAAACAGACGCTTCATGGGCAAGAAATTACTTCAGTTTTACGTTAAATAATTGTTTTATTTTTTTCAATTAAAACACTAGTAAAACCTCCGCATTAAGCCAACAAAATGTTATCAACTTCAGGTAAATAAAGACTTGTTAAACGTTTGCGACATGCCAACGAACAAATTCAGATTTTTTGAAATGAAAGCTCGACTTCATAGCGAACATTTCATAGGGATTAGTTATAATATTTTCCATGCTTGAAGAAAGGGGTGCCGTGTATTAGATATACTAAATTTATATACATGTGAAATTGTATTTAAATTCCCAGGGTAAAAAATGTCTAAAAACAAGACAAAAACGTTAACTTCAGCTGCACCGAAGCTAATATACCGTTCACAGGTGTATTTCTTTTAGTAACTCCAGTTTGTATGGAAGCTATATGCTATAGTAATCCGATCTGAACAATTTTTTCGGAGATTATGTTATTACCTTAAGCAGTAATCCACGTCAAATTTCGTGAAGATACCACGTCAAATGCAAAAGTTTCCATACCAGCACTAGATTACTATCGTTCAGTTTATATGGCAGCAAAATGCTATAGTAAGCCGATCTGAACAATTCCTTCGGAGATTACAATATTATCTTAGAAAATAAACTGTGCCAACATTTGGGAAGATACATTGTCAAATGTGAAAGTTTTCCATACAAGAACTTGATTCCGATCATTCAGTTTGTGTGGCAGCTATATGTTATAGTGGTCCGATATCGGCCGTACCGACACATGTCTAGCAGCTTCTTGAAGAGAAAATGACATTTACAAAATTTCAAAACGATATCTTAAAAACTGAGGGACTAGTTCGTATATATACTGACGGACGGGCAGACGGACATGGCTAAATCGACTCTGCTCAACATACTGATCATTTATATATATGTATAATTTATAGGGTCTCCGACGCATCCTTCTGGGTGTTACAAACTTCGTGGCAAACTTAATATACCCTGTTCAATTGTGATTTTTACATTGGATAAACATATTGGAAACGATTTTGTCTCAAATCTTGTATTTTTAACCAAAATTTCGTGTGAAGGTTGGAAAGGGCTAACGGTGATTCAAAGCACAAACCTACAAGTGGTTCCAGGGCTGACAGACAGTCGAGAGATTTATGAAAACATCCCTTTTTCAGGACGACGTTCGATTTCTTCAACTGATATTATAAATAACAAAATATTGAAAAAGTGAAGGATGTGTTTAAATTTCTAATAATGCTTGAAAATCGTCACGCAAGTGTTATAGAGATGACAAGAAAACTCGACATGTCTCGTGAGTCCGTTCGGTAGATATTTTGGTTATGAAACGCATTCTTGCTCAACTCGTCCCGATAAAGCTGAATTTTTTTCAAAAAGAGTACGATTTCGATCGTCGACATGAGTGTATTACATCTGGTGGGGACTACTTTGAAGGCGACAAAATAAATATTGATGATATTAAATATAATATTGTATTTTTCCTAATATGTAGTGAACTATTTTGATTGTGAAAAAATTGGGTAGTTTTGCAATAGATTTTATAGGCATTTTGGTACCTAAAGATTTTCTTAAGTGGGAACACTGATCATGACTGTTATTGCGAAATAAATTCACTTTGTCTTTTCATTTATTTATTGTCTTACAAACTATAACTATTAGCTCTGTATGGCTGTTTCACTATTTGCAAAATGATAACCGCATTTACGCATGTAAAGTGAAAACCCCCTTATTTTTAAGTGGAAAAATGTAATAGTGACAGACAAATGTTTAACCTGATCAAATAACTGTTACCACTGTTTAAGAGAGTAAATAAACTGAAAGCATTCTTATACTATCATTTAGTAGTATAGTATGTATATTTAAAATCCGATAAATAAGTTCTGAGAAAATTACATGTACTTACATACTTACTTTGTTGTAGCCCAGCAGTTCGGCCCATTGATTCATTTGCAGATATTTAAACGTCTGTGGCATTGTGCGTCGTAGATTAATACGCGAAACTGCGTCAATACCGATCAGCAAAACACTTGGTTTCCTTTTACCCGAAACTTTGGTTTCATTAGTGTTGATTGTGCTATTTGTCTTCTTTGTTACTTGTATAAATGAAAAAGCGTCCTTCTGTAGTGGATTTTTATCATTGGCGCCTAGGTAGCACTCCGTAATTATAAAGTCTATATGTAGCGGTACCAAGAAATCCTGATGAAATGTAACACAGTTTAAGAGGCTGTAAAGGTTATATAATTGTTTTTTTTTTTCATTCAAACTAAAAGTGGCTTTTTAAAGATTGAACGTGAAATAAATCGAAATTTGGAAATAAATTTGAATTTTTAATAATAAAGGGTGTCCCAAAATTCACGTAAGATTGGAATGAAAAAGAAAATACAGTTATTAGGGTAAGGCACAGGTTTCCCAATGTTTATCACGTTTTCGGGTGTTAGCCGCATACCATTCTTGGCAATCTCGTCAACTATTTCATTGCCCTCGATGCCTTTGTGGCCTGGTACCCAGTAGAAGTTAAGTTGCTTACTTCTAGCAATACTTCCACTGCTGTTCTGCTTCCTAAGACACATCTTTCCGATATGCGACTGGGAGGTGCTTGGTGCAGTCCTTGAGAAAGAGTTGTGTACCATTTTTCGAAGGGAACCTCCGTATAGGTATTTACTACATAAATGGCAGCAAATTCAAATCTTGCGTTAATTTTGGGACAACGGTGTACGTAAAGGCGCAACAAACGCAATATGTACGTAATACAAAAGGCAATAAATAACATTAGCAAGTAATGATAATAACTACAACCTTTTGCACAAATTACTCACTTATACTTAGAATCAGCTGATCCTCCTCTTCCTGCTCTGACGATTTGCCGATAACAACAGCGCACATCCGTAGCGGTGGCATTTAATGGCTTAACGGTGCGTTCTATGTTCTCCATATTCATGTGTAGAAAGTATTGTCGTGCATTTAGCTGGTAAATGCTTGTAATGAAAGCTTCATCCTTAGTACAATTTGTATATCTGTATTTTAGTGGATTAAATATTTTTAGAACATTTTCGCCGAAAGGTTCCACATACGGTATGCGACATTGTGACGTGTGTATGAAGTACTCGTATTGTGATCGAGTCTCGTTATGTTTTATCACATATGAAACAGATTCTGTGGCCGTTACATTATCTAAGAAAATAAAAAAGAAACATGTCTTCAATATATTTATACTATTTAAGAAAAATTATACAAATTTACAAATGGTTATATTAACTAAATTAGATTTATTACTAACAAGATGTGCACAGAAAGATGATTTTAAGATACATGTATATAAATAGGCTCATATTGATACACATACATGTTGTTATGATTGTCTGAACATTCGTCCAAAACAGACAATATAAAACCGTAAAAATTGCTTAATGGGTTACATGGGTTTCCTCGGATAAAAAACAGACTTTTTAAAAAAAATGTTATCGATTTCGGTACACTTTTTTGCCTATTTACATTGAAACTCTCATTTACATGAGTGAAATTTTTTAAATTTTAGTAAAACGTTCTAAACTAAACTTAGCATATTGTTGTTAATACTAATATTAGCCGAAATCATTCCACCACAAATTTCAATAAATTTAGTACTGCTCATATTCCTTCAAACATCCTTCCCCAATTTAAAATTTGTTTCCTTGAACTTGTCCAGTTTCACCGTCTATTTCTATTTATCTATTTTTAAACCAATTTAGTTGTTGAATTTTGGAGTTATAGCGCGAAAAGTTATAATTTTAAACTAGTGTTTTCAATAATTAGCAACCAAATAAACATTATTTTATCACACATATCAAGCGCTACTACAGTTCTCTCTTGTGTAATATTTATAGATACTTGAAATAACGTTATTGCAATAGACACCCACCCAATTAAGTGAAGTTCAAGTGATACTTCATTAGATAAGTGCATAGCGCAAACGAGTTGTGTTCAGGAAATAACGGGGAATAAATATAAAATTTAAAATTTCGCGGTTTTTAGAGTACTACTGTCAAATATTTTTATGATACGAAAGAAAAAAAAATACAAATGTATTCGTTGTTTACTTTATCTTTAGCAGCCGCTGAATTAGACGTGTTTTTATGGGCTTGGCGTAGTCGCAAATCAGTGATATGTTGAAGAACTTTACTTTGATGAAGTAAAGGGTGAATATCAGGACTCGACGACGCAGTCTCTCTCCCACCACGAATTCCATGGCTACTGTAGTAGTGGTTGTAGTCCTATTTCGCCCATTTTCGAATGCCCCGTACCGAGTTTAGTCGAAATCATTCGGTCGGGTCTCAAGATATTAATTTTTCCTCAAATTTATATCCAGTTCCTATAAAGCCCTACCACAGCATCTCGAGTGTTAGGTCTCGTTATATGAAGAGTGGGCGGTGTTGTCTTCCGATTTCAATCATTTTGACAGTATCGGTAAGGGAGCTAAAGGGATTCATCTTCAACATGTGTATCAAGCACTCAGTGACTTTTCCTCAGACATGCAAAGCAATGGCGGGGAATGGCGCATATTTTGAAGCAAAATCCCAATCGTACCATGAAATTGGTACCTAAAAGTCGGAAGATTACATTAATCCATTTATCAATCTCGCTTGACAGCTTTATTGAATAATAATAACATTTTTCGCAAAATACTATTTACTTAACGATACGAACTTCCGATTGCCCTTATTATGGGTATAGTCCAAAGTCTTTTCGGAAGTTGTTTTATTACGCTCATCTAATTGGCTTCAATATTTACTAAACCACTTACTAGTAACCGAAATCAACTGATTTATCTATGGGTAACAGACGTGAAGTAGTGGCGGGCCGAAAGTCCGGAAATAACTTAATTGATAAGCTTTAAAAAAATATCCAAAAATGTACAATCAAACAACAGCAACTACAAGTAATATACAGGAAGTTCCAAAATTAGAGTCAGATTTAAATTTGCCTCCATTTAAATTAATCTTCACAGTTGACAAAGTTAAAACACTACAATATTTTTAAATATTGTTCAATAATGAAGACACGTTGTAACGATCCATTTAAAAACTTGTTTTAATTTTGAGACACCTTTTAAAATTAATAACACATTATAAACAATTAAATGTATTTTTTGGTTTTAATAATCACTGTGCTTATAAACGAATTATGTCATTTATTATTATGTTTATCAAACACCTATCGCACCTTTGGTACCCTAAAAGTCGTTATCACTGCTAATTATATTAAAATTCTTCGGAATTTTTTTACCGATTTCTCTTCACACGTCACTGCTTTAGATATATGAAATTTATCAGATTTTTTTTTAATACTTTATGACATTTCACTACTCGAAACTTTTAAATTTTTACTTTAAAATTTTCGAGATTACTTTTCCATATTACTTTTTATCGATTTGAGGAAAGTTTTGTAGATGTAATCCTCCGAAACTTCATCATTATTCATTTATTATCTGAAGACTGTGCCCCTCAAGAGCCATCACTTGGCGACTAATTATATTATTTATTTTAATTCTTACGTACAAACTCTTTTGAAGAGAGATGTTATTACTTTAATCAATATCTGATTCTGTTTCAAATCAGTTTTCACGCCTAATAAAGTCTTTATGATTGATGACACGGTAGGAGCATTGTGGTCGATTTACACCTTCCGAAAGTTTTATTTGCCTATTATGCAGGCCCTAGTACATTTGATTGACTTATTGTCGTAAGGTAACGGTAAAATTTAGACGAAAATGTTTCGTTTAATAAATATTTACAGGGAGAAGCTGTGATCTTCATGATCTCAATAAACGTCACAAAAAAGACCGTTTACAATGTATTCTTAAAGTCAGAAGCTGTAACTGAAACTATATTACAATTTTACTAATAAATGGGAGCCAATGACAACCAGGAGTGATTGAAAGACAATTATTCCCTTAATTTCAGTTGAGTCACCGCGAAACAGATGGCCTCAGCGCCAGACAATTTCTTTGCTGTGATCATTTTACGTATTTCTCTTAAAAAAACTGTCTCAAAAATTAATAAGAATTTAAAAAAGCGGTGACCGTAAATTGAAGACAATTTTTTTGACAAATTTTATGCGATCTTGTTCACTTATTAGACAAAATTTTAACAAAATATTCCCAAAATTGTGTGCGTGTCTGATAGTTGGAACGTACTTACATATGTCTGGTTACAGTATCTTTAAATAAGAATGAAATAGTTGTGTTCATGAAATTTGTCTAGTTATGGGAGTTGTCCGGCCAGGAGGACCGTCGTTATAATGTGATGAGACTTAAGCTGACAAACCTGAAACCACTGTTCCCTATGTCTTAAAAAATATTTTTCGGTTTTAATTATTTAATTTTTTTGTATAGAAGAAGGCAATTTGATTGAAAAATAAATTCCTTTATTTTTTTGTCAATAAAATTTAGCACATGTAAAAAAGTCACTAATCTAGCAACTGTACATATCACACAGCTAGATTCGGCGTTATTCGTCGACTTGCATTGTATTTTATTCAAAATTGCCAAGAGCGTATCTCTAAAACTAGAAGCTCCATATAGCAACGAGTCAGTTCTAATTGATACAATGCTACTAATTAGTTTAGGCAAATTAAAGCCATTTTCTTACTCTCGTATTTTCTAATAGATGGAGCCATGTGTAGAAGTTCACGCAGGTGAGGAAAGTTCTCTGGGCGCCATTAACTTGGGAGTGCCCAGAAAATATTCTCTCACATATTGCTCAAGAAGCTCATAACTTCTGGTCTGAGACCAGGTATCCTCTTAGCACCATCCGCTTGAAGGTGAGCTAAAGTCAAAAAGCGAATTATCTGTACCCAAGATTGTGCGTTGAGTTTGTAAAACCACTCCGTATGAAAAGGACATAACAGCCTCTCGCGCTGTTGTAAACTCGGCTATAACCGCGTAAGCGTTGTCTACGCCATTAAAGTAGAAGATTTTCTGAACTAGATTATGCTAAATTTATTTAGCTTATTTAATTTTGTGTATCCTAACGGCGTATATTAACTTTGCTACAACGTTTGTAAACCAAGAAGGAAACATCGCAGACTCTATAAGGTATAATATTAATGAGCCAATTTAATCAAGTCTTTGTATATAGCGTCTACTAATATCGAAACATCGAAAACAGCGCACCGGATTATGAAAATTGGAAAGGATATACATATGTAAACGGAACCGTAGTGGTCATTTAACCGATATATCACAAATGATATAAAATTATCTGAATCACAAAAAAAAACAGAACACATTTATAGCAAATATAACTGTTTCATTTCATTTTAACATATCGTCGCTCTTGTTGGTAGACCCTTCACGCAAACCAGTCCGGTAATTTTGATCTTTTTATATCCAAGATTTGCTCACGTGTCAAAGCCGATATAGTACCACTTTAGGATATATAAGCTGTCATATAAACTGATTGATCAAACTCAAGTCCTTGGTTGGACAAATTTTTTACTTGACAAATTATCTTCACGTAATATGGCATAGATTATTGAACAAGGTAACGGTCTTTGAACAAGTTGATCAGATCGTATCACTATATAATATATGAGGCAGAAAAACTTATCGATCAAAGTCAAGATAAACATCTTCATGCTAATCGATCAAAGTCAAATTAAGGATCTTCATTAAAGGTTCAATTCTTCGTTAACATATTGACTGCCACGCCGTATGAAATCGCCGACAGGGGTTGTTCGACTTCCAAAGTTGTCATGCTTTTTGAGGGACTCGTTATCTACATAAAAATTTGGTCCGCTTCTTCAAGATACTAAGACGATTTCTGTACATTTTGTGATAAAATCGGTGAGGATAATATGGATTAAACTAAAATTTGCTTGGCATTCCTCGTGTGAACTAACATTAAATTGACTTGAGGTTGCTTATACTGCCGAATAACATTACCAGGAAGAACCAACAAAACGTTTTTCATTGGATATAAACCTTAGTTTAATTTTTTGGGAAGTTTTAAGGATTAAATGCCTTAAATTCTCTATTTTTTAACACACTCTGATTCATAAACTTCAACATTTCTTTTGACATTGCAATCATTGCTTTCCGCCGAACCCAAACACACAAAACGCGAATCGCTACCACCAACGATTTTTAAATTGAAATAGACGAAAGTACAAATAGTTTTAAGTAAAAAACACAAATTTGTCACTATTTTGTATATAGGCAAAAACATATGTGTGTAAATATGTATATATGTATATGTATATGTAAATATGTTTTCTGTTTTATCTAATGCCATTCAGTTCGGAGTTATAGAACAAGTGGCGATAAAACTAGCATTTATGTACTCATGTACTCATATATATCCATGTATGCATGTAGTATGTACATATGTATGTAAGGATAACATTTTATTTATTCGTGATACGTGAAATATTTTTCGAGCGCCGTTGTTATATGAGTAGCCAAATTTCACCGAATTTTATTTATGAAAAAAATAATCCTTACTCACTAAAATCAAAATTTTGTCCATTAAAAATATTTTCGCAAACTGCCTGAAAATAACAAAATCACTTGCTCTCACGCATACATATACGCACATCAATATCTTTTTTTAATTTTTTAAATTTTTTTAATTTTTTTTTTTAATATCACAAAATCAATTCTTACATTCCTCCACTTCAATTTGCATTGTGGTTTCATATAAGCGTGTTGCTTCATCGTAGTAGTATCGCATATGCAGCAACTGTAGTGTTGTAATTAACGCAAAAAATGCTAAAATTCTTGCAAAATGTTTGTGCCTCACAAATGCTAAGATTTTTTCAAACGCACTTTGACTATGGTTTTCATACGCTTCACTAAAATCATGTTTATTCAATAATACATATTTTACGTTCCTCATTTGTCTAATTCAATTTCGAGTGATCGGTCGTCACGTCCTACGTTCAATTTCAGTTCCTAAGTCGCGAGCGCACTTTTATAACTGAATGCACAATATTAAATGTGCCCACTTACAAATCTCGAAATATATACACATGCACATATATATATAGGTATGTATGTACTTATATGGACTTATTGTATATTTACATACTCTATTGCGGAACAAGCGATGCGCACACATACATGCATGCCTTTATATCAATGAGAATACAAGCATAAGCTATTCGTTTTCCTTTCGTTAGAAACGAATAATTCTGAATATAATATTATAGATTTATTTACAGTGTGACAATTTCGCTTACAATACATCATTTTTTATGGTAGATTTTTGGTTAAAATTTGGTAATACGCTATTATCTTAATACCACCCAACGTTAACACCACGAACAACGTCAGAAGTAAAGTCATCTCTCACTCATCGTTCCCGCCCTGCGATACGGTGCAGAGGCATGGACGAAGACAACAGCTAATGAGTCGGTGTTACGAATTTTCGAGAGAAAGCATCTGCGGAAGATGTATGGTTCTTTGCGCATTGGCAACGGCGAATAACGCAGTCGATGGAAAGATGAACTGTACGAGACATATTGATATTGACATAGTTCAGCGGGTCAAGAGACAGCTGCTACGCTGCCTAGATCAGGTCGGCCGTAAAGATGAAAACGCTCAAGCTTTGAGTGTATTCGACGAAGTAGCCGCCAGGGAAATCAGAGGAAGAGGAGGACCTTCACTCCTTTGGAAAAACCAGGAGGGCAAAAGACCTGGCTACACTTGGAATATCTAATTAGCGCCAAACAGTGGAAAGGAATAACGACTGGCCCGCTGTTTTAAACTGGGCTATAAGGCGTAAAAGGTGTCTACGCCAATGAAGAAGAAGAATTCCTTTTTAGTATAGTACTGCCAGCCAGGCTCGAAAACTTTACAAGCCACCCATTCCTAGACATTTTCAACCACATTGATGTCAGGTAAGTATGGCGCTAACTGGATGAAATCGACGTTTTGTCCTTCAAACCCAGACTTAAACACTTGTTCAGGGTGAATCGGTGTGTATCGTGCAAAGTGCAAACTAATTTTTAAAATAGAGAAAACCAGTTTTCAGTATAACTTTAAATGCTTTTACTTCCATATTAGTACTTGTATGAAAAAACTCCTCGAACTCTTTCTTTCGAAACTCAAAATAAGTAACATTTTGGTCGACCATTTTTCTATCAGTGTAAAACTTTCATCAATGTAAATCGAAATATCCAGAACAGAAGCGATCGAAATCATTGTTGTGCTACATGAACTGATACAGCATCGTATCCGTAAACTTCACAAATTTCATTGGTGTCGTGGGTGGCATTCTTCCCTTTTTTATACAAATATTTCAAAATATAGCTGTAACTTTTTTCAACTTCCTGAAATTAATTTGGTTAAATGAAACTTAAAATCTTACCCTTCCAACACTACATATATGGTACGTGATTGATAGCACTAGTAGATGTACGATTACAACGCCATCTATTGCAAAGTACGAAAAGCTATAATAGTTCGACTACCCAATATAACCGCTGAATACGGTTATTCCGAAGATTGCGTCTATAGCCATTGTTTTCTATAATAATGTTAACAAAACTTTTTTCGGATTACTATTTCTTAATTTGTCCTTATACTTCTCAACACTTCAACAAAAACCGTTTCCGTACTGTTTTTGCTTACCGCTAGATCTAAACTAAGACACTGTCAGCCAAAAATTATTATATATTTAATCCCTTTTTGTTATCTCAGAGAAAGTACATTTTATCAGTTTTCGAAAAGCTTCTTTTTCAACTTTTATTTACATATTTTTCGGTGAGCTTAACGGTGCGTGTGAAAAAATTTAAGAATAATAATAGTGATGGGGAAAAATTTTCATTTTTATTCGCGTGTGTAAAGAGATCATTTGCAATTAATCATTCAAAAAAGTTATAAAGCCAGTAAATGATATAATACGGATACTTATAATATTTTGAAGTAACAAGACTGTAAATGTGTGAGAACATAGAAATGTATGAAATGAAATATGAATATAATAAAGTCAGGACAAATAAATCCAAAATCTGCTTTTAGTGCTCTGTTTGTGTTGTAAAAAGTGCATTTCATTTATGTTTCGTTATCAACCAAATAAAAATCAGACTGTAACAATTTCCAACGAAATGTAGTATAAACTTAGTATTTCTACAATAAAAGCTAGTAAAAACATAAACAATTAACACCAATCACTATTCAAATAAATATTGAACTATACCATATACAATATGTACATACATATGTATATCAACATTATTATTTTATCGAAAATAAACAGGCCTCTGAATTGTTACTGACTGCAAAACCCACAACAAATAAATGAGTACATATGTACATATGTACCGTGCGTTCAAAAAATAACATATTTCCTTTGCGCGATCAATTCGCGGAAAAAATTTTTGTTTTATTTTTTCAATCTTCTTAGTATGCACTGTAATCAAACCACTACTTTCAATCGCCAGTTGATCAATGCAATTTTCACAGATGAGTCAAATTATGTATTGTTCAACCCATTGAGACGTGTTTGGCCAAGAAAGAATAAACATTTATTCACAGGAAGTTAAGTACTCCCGAAGGTTGCATGTTTACGGATGCTTCTTTGCTCATGGATTTGGGGTTTTGAAGTGTTTCACGAAAAACCTGAATGCCATTAGAATGATAAAATTATTTTAAAATGGTTTACTAAAGTCAGCTGAAATGCTTTACGTAAAAGGATATGCTTGGATATTCCAAAAAGACAATGAACCGTAGCATAAGAGCAGACTCTGTACTCAATGGAAACAAGGATTGATTCTTTAGATTGACCGTCACAGTCATCCGACGCCAATCCAATTGAGACTTTTTGGATTTTGAAGAAACCCAAAATATCTAGAAATCATTTAACGAACGTGGAGGTGGCTGTCTGTGAAATTTGTGAAAAGTTTAGTTGTGAATTCTTCGATTTTTACTATGTCTGAATTTATTGAACAAAGAAGCGCGATATAATAACCAATATATGTACAACCATTTTATAACATAAACTCAATTTTTTTCAATATGAGAGGCATTTGCCTTCGCCTTTAAACTTATGAAAAGTCATGTTACGTGACTTTGCATTTTAGGCTACGAAACACAACATTTCCCCAATAAATGTTACCTACGCCATGGTCCATGAAAACATTATTTTTTGAACGTACAGTACATACATACATAAGTAAATATGCATTCATGTTAACATATGTCTATGTATAGAGGTATATTTATTAAACGATTGCACGTATATTATGACCAGTATTTCCTGACATTCATAACATGTGAATATAATAAAATATATTTTATAACCGATAGAAACTTTTTTCACAAAGGCTATACGATTTAGTTCGCGGACATATGTACGTATGTATTGCAAACTCTTCATTAATTAATTTTATTAATTTCGTAGTGCTCACCCAGAGCAATAAACAATCATCAAGAGTAGATAATATGTACATATAATGGTAGATACCTCATTAAATTGGTATAACCGATAGATATTATGTTCCATGTATTCGAAAATTGTAGATTGTGTTTATAACAGATGTCGGTACGCCACTCTTCATATTCAATAAAAATGTTACACAGTTTATGTTAATGTGATAAAGTGTGTCACATACTATATCATATGCATATCATAGCGTAAACATATGCATATAATACTATACATATCCATACCGGTTTGAGAAAAACTTTGGACACGATTATTTTCAGTATATTATATTATTAAATAATAACTCCTAAACAATTCGATAACTTCGAAGAACTTAGTTAGTCTACAAGCTGCATTGTCGTAAAACAAAGCGAATTTCGCTATTATCAGTCCTTAACCGCCCTCTAGATCATTATGAATGATGAAACTCATAGTTTTGTAGAAAATTTACTGCTCTATAAAAATGGACTCATATGATTTTTGATTAAGTTAAGCATTTACGACATATTAATCGTCAAACATTAATGCATATTAGAGTGAATCAAAAAAAATTTTTTTTTTCGGTTGGTACTCTGAAAAATACGTTCCTAGGCACCTCTCAGAAAGCCTCTCCAAAAACCTATGAGTTTCATCATTCATAATGATTTGCTTCATTGAGTTATAAAATTCATAAGGAATAAAAAATTTTCCCAAAAATAATCAAACTTCAACCGTTAATATATTTTAAACGGTTGGGTTTACGAAAAAATCGTGCGGACCTTTTTTGTAGAGCATTCAATTTCCTACAAAATCTAAGGAACAAGATATTTTTTCAAGTAGTTTGAAGCGAGATATAAATTTTTCTATATGATAATAAGAAAAAATAGAAAATTGTAAGTAGGAGGACCTTCCCGTTACAATTAAGCACTCATTCTTGGAGAGGCTTCATTAGAGATGTCTAGGAACCTATTTTGCAGAGTACCAAACGAAAAAAAAACTAACTACAAAACATAAGTATATATGTTCATCCAATCGTGGTCACGCAAACCTTACCACCTCTTTTTTTGCTGTATTTTTGCGATTATCTAATTTTTCTCTTAGATTTAAATAAGAATCTTTATTTTTTATTCTAATTTTTTTTTTTGTATATTCGAGTAATTTCTGCTTTTTTTATGACATTATATATATTTATTTAAAAAGTTTAATATGCCCCTTTGGCGGCTATAACTGCTTGGACCCGGGTAAGCATTGAAACAAAGAGGTATTTTTTTCAGTTCGGTCCTTGAGCTTGGCCGGTATTGAGCTACTTTCATTTTCATTTCGGGTTCAAATCGGGAGAATTTCCTGGCCATGTCATATGCGATATTCCAAGATCTGCAAACATTTTCTGAACCTGCAAAAAATAAAATGTAGACTGATGAAATTTTTCTTAAATATAAACATGAGGATATATCGCAGATTATATAGCGTATTAAACTTACCTTCCTGGAAGATGGCCTCAGAAGTATTCCCATATTGTTCTCTACGACGGGCGCAATAAAATAGGATA